CCTGCGATCAATAATGTTTCGGTAACAGAGGAAATTAAAAATAAAATGTTACGGCTTCTAGTTTGTTACTGGCATCATCTTTATGTGTTGTGTCAAACTTCCTGTAACATTAAGTATTACACAACGATAGGAAAATATCTAGTTTTAGATAAAAAAAGAATTAGTTCAGTGTGTTTTGTAAAATTATTTCAGAGAAAATCTCAATGAAAGAAACAATGAAATCCCGCTATTAAGTTCAAGACATAATAATATCTTGGCTTAGTGCCAATCAGTGATCTACTAAGGAAATACACACACACACAAATACACACACACATCCCCTTCCTCCATCATGAATAAACCATACTGTGTCTATGAGTCATATACCACCCCCACATCCCTCTCTAACCCACTCCCCCTATTCGGAGCTGCGAGAGTAAAAACGCTAATTAACGTGATGGCTAGCTCCAGCTCCTGTCAGCAGCTTGTGGGGGCCTCTCACGCAGCCAGGCTCCACTGGTCTCTGGTTTTAGCAGCTCTCTCCCCAGCCGCCATCTCTGGAGGACCGGGGCCCCTCATTCATATTCAGCCCCAGTCGCAGGCACCTGGAAGCAGCCAGCACCAGCACCACCTCCACCCTCTCCACAACCCCCTCAGTGTCTATCACCAGACCCCCATTCCAGCCCACCTCCTGTCAATGCTTGATCCCCAGTACTGCGGGTAAAGGACGCCCGCAAAACTCACCCATACCTCACCCACATACACACAAACACATTTATCCTATTTTCTCAAACTAGAATCCAATTGGAACACAAACTGAAAAACTCCATTTAGGAGATGTGGGAGCTAGAAACTCCATCTAGGAGATGACACAACCCAACTGATGGGTTGAATCACCCAACGGTGGCGAGAGAGAAAAATATAGAGGGAGGGAGGGAGGGAGGCAGGGAGGGAGGGGAGCTGCGTGCCTTGGTGGACTAGCTCTGTAACCATGACAACACAGCCGGGAGAGCAAGAAACAGGAACATACAGAATCTGTTTCTGCTGAGACTTGCACATGTGGCAGAGTACTGCTTTTCCTCCGAGAAGAAGAGAAGGGGAGGTGTGTGTGTTCACATGAGTGTGTGTGTGTGTGTGTGTGTGTGTGTGTAGGCCCTTATGAAACATACATGCCTGCTGCCTCTCCAACCAAACTCACTCGCCTGCCCTAGTCACAGAGTGAGTCACAGCATAAAAGACATTATGGTTGAAACTGAAGCAACCCAGTGTTTAGTGGCAGCCTTTTTTCTTCTTTCCCTCCTCAACTACTGAATACGGTGAGGTGGAGGCTGGGATTCGGTACGAAGAGGAAAAGATCAAATATAAAAGGAAAGAAAGAGCAAAACATTTTCTCCACAGCCGCTGTTCCTGCCTATTTTCTCTCCCTGTGCCTCTCCGCCGCTCCCCTTCTGCCTATCTTTTCTCTTTCCTCTTGCTCCCTCTTTCTACAGGCTCAGTCTAACCTCCCCCTCCCCTTTCCTCAAGGGAATAAAGGTCGTAACGCAAATGATTACTCAAACCCGAGTTGCCATAGAAACGCAGTCATGTGACTAGAGCAGGCATGCATAGACCACAACAAAGAGGTGGATCAGGAACCAGCGCTGGGAAGAGCTGTAGCTCGCCTTACTGGTGCCTCAGTGCATTTCACTCAAATTCGAGCTTTTAAAAATAGGCGAGCAGCATGAAACGCAAGGGGGAGAGAAGCAGAAAAACCGACACTCTAAAGAGCTGGGAAGAGAGGCTGTAATGAATCTAGGCTGTAACACTGCAGTGTGCCATATATTCTACCATTCACTAGCATACCAAGGGTGTGTCCTATTCATCATGTCCTTCTTGAGGCAGAGCTCAGGCGCCAGTTGTCTGGAATTTCTGTGAAATGGCGTCAGTTGTAGAAATGTGGAGGGTGGTGGATTTGTGTGCTTCTAAAATAGGAGTATGGAACCGTAACTTTTTCGGCGTGCTACACTTAAATGATTCCTCCTCAAAGCTCAACGAGCAGAAGCAGCTTTTTGTCTGTGTGTAGCAGTAAGGTTACTTGTTGGAGCAGTTCTACTTCCAACTAGATTTGGGAAAACCTAAGATTTAAGAAAAGCTACACATAGAAAAACACATTTAGGAAGAGATGTAAAAGAGAACAGTAGACAGGAAAGTAGGGTAACTGTTGAAGGATCTCTCAATTTTCCAACAAGTAACTAATTTAAAGTTGACATTTTTCCTTAAAGGCTGTCTTTAAAACAAAAAAAGCCAGAAAACTTTAAAGAATTAAGCCAAATGAGTAAAAGCTGCTGAGCACAACAGTCGGTATGTCAGTCTGAAGGAGGAACACCTGGAGCAGAATGAGAAGGTGGCCTGCCCCAACAGGACTCAGTTATCCTGCATCCAATCCACCCCCACTGAGATTAGTCCTACGCCCTGGATGAACCCGGCAACCTGTGACCATCTCAGAGACCAACAGACAACCCCCCAATAAACAGAGTCAAATCTTCACATTTAACAGTGCGAGGGAAAAACAACAATATTGTTATGGGAGACACATTTGCTGTATGGAAGCCAGCAAAAGTGCAGACTACTATTGCCTTGCTTTTATTCGTGTTAGCAATAACAGCCACTCATTTTGCTGAGCTCCATCAACGCTAGCAGAGCAGTAGGATGGGGTACATTTTCTGGTGATGAAGTCATCACATCTGCGGTTATGAACACTGTGTGTGTCAATGTCTACGCTTTTTCTTTTGCTCTCTCCCACACACACACATCTGAATTCAGGCTTGCCTTCACACACCAGAAAACACTTACAGCACGAAGATGTATGGGCAAACACTTAAATACTCAATCTAAAGGGGTGCGAGTGTAACCCCCCCCAACCCCTCACTGACTGCTGGGCCTTTCCCTCCAAAGTCCACCTCTGCTCCCATGAGGTTTCAGGCAGCAGCTGAGTGTTCAGTGAAGTCTGCAATCATCCCGTGTCTAGACGATGTCTACTGGTAGACAATGTATACTGAAAGACAAGGAGATGCACACTCTGCACAGGCTCCATGTATAAAAGAGAAGTCCCGGGATAGACCACGATGTGTTTGAGTTGGTGACGCAGTGGTTAATAAAAATGTTTAGAGCCAGACTGGGAACTCAGCCAACAAGCACCACCATGAATACAAAAAAAAGCAGCAATATTTTAGAAACAGTTATTGTCCAAATTTAAAAAGAAAAAGATATCTCTTTATGTTTTAGGCTCATTGTTACAGTGCAGTATTCCAAGTGCTTTTTTTGAATTGATTATCAATACAATAACTTTTGGTTGGTGTATCATTCAAAACATGTTATATGCGTGTGCCATTAAATGTCCTTTTTTTCTGAAGTTAAGTCAAAGAGTTTGTCATCAATTGCTGAAGCTGGCAATGACGTCAGGGACTTCTTAAGACCAAGAAGAATTCGAAATAAACAATACTTGTAAATAGAAAATAGGTTATCTAAAAAAATGCTATGTAGTTAAGAGAAGAATTTCAAATAAAAAGGGGAACATATCAAGAATGTTATATAAGGTTTTCATTTAAGTATCACTTTTTTTTTTACCATAAACTAAAAGTATTGTTTTATCATTCAATGATTTGCAGTGAAATGCCCTTAAATGGATACTGTTAATTAATAATGGAGTATGTTCATATAAAACTTTGTAGTAGACATGAGTTTATTCTTGGAATCTTAGTTTTAAACGACTTCTCTGTATGACGAGAGGATTTGAAGAAAATAACAAGAACTACAATAGAAGCAGAAAAGCACAGAAGCGAGAGATACAATGGGTTGCAGGGAAAGAAAAGGCTCTGAGAGAACGAGCAGGTGTGGTGGGAAAGACCCATGGGCTTCAGGGAGAGAATAGATCAATAACTAATTTCAGTACCGAGCTTCACTCGCGCTGTTTTCCAATAAATGCTGGACTGCCTCAGCCCTCCCCCCACTATCTCTATCACCTTCGACAAGCAGGGATTGGACTCAGTGGAAGAAGGCTGTTTTCCCCCGCCATTGTGATTGTTGGTTGGATGGATTATGTTCCTACAGCTAGTGTATTGTATAAATGTAATCCAACGTTGCCATTTCCATGTGTCCTCCATGAGTGCTCCCACAACCACTCCACATATGCAGTCTCTGTAACTTTTTTTCTTTTCACTGCTCTGCCTCCTGCAACCCCCTCCCAACCTCCTCCCAACCTCCTCTCTCTCCCTCTCTCTCCCTCTCTCTCTCTCTCTCTCTCTCTCACCCTCGTTCGACCAGGGCCAGTGTTGAGGTTTTGTCAAGAGATTCAGTCAGACAGGAGAGTGAAGCGTGTGTCATGCAGGGCTGCTGCTGCTGCTGCTGAGGCTCTTCTCCTCAGAGGCTGTGACCTAGATAACCAAGAGGAGCTGGAGCGCTTGCAAGCCTTGGAGCCACTCCAGCTTCAGCAATGTCAGGAAGGGGTTAGTTGTGTAACACAATGTCCTATTTAGTTTGCTCACACAAACAGAGACATGGACGCAAACACATATGTACCCTGTAGTATTTCCGCATTACAGTGGTGTGTTTCTTTTAGAAGCCGTCTGTTTATTAGCAAAGACGGGATGTGCAGATTGGGGTTTGTGCATATGAGGAAGCAAAAAAAAAAAAAAAAAGAGGAAAGGGCCCCTGAATTCATCTGAATTTAAACATTAGCATTAAGAATGCTTGGTAAAACTTTCCAGGCCAGCAGCCACTGCAGACACATTATGTCACAGTGGAACAGTGTCAAAACATCTACAGGCTTCCTGCAGTGTTGGAGCGTTATATTCCTTTTTTTGTTGCATTCACTCAACTGATGTTTGGTGTATGAACATGCTAAATATATATAGCAACAATTACTTCACTATAACCAGGCAGCCAGTGAGTTTGAGGCACACTCAGCGCTGCACTGCCACTACCTGGTCAGCTACAAACAGTTACATGTTGACAGCCATAAAAAAAAAAATGTCAAACTGATATTTGTGTGCAGCTGTCAGGACTCTGATGGGGAGAAACCCGACTGATTTATTGGTTCATTTTTATATTTAAGCGAGAATATTCACAAATTACACCACCATCATGTTGAGGAGATGAAATATAGATGGAGCCTACTGCGCTGGAACAACTTAAACATGCTGCTCTGTGAATGGCTAAATCTGTGACCCTAACATCTGAGCTGAGAGAGCAACATTGCCATCTGGTGGATTGTATTGTGTATTGCCGCTGCCTAAACTCACTGATATGACTCACTTCACTGTGTGGCAGTTTAAATGTAGTTGTAATTTGACATAACTTTGTGTCTTGAAGTAAACATACACTGGTTGTCTGGTCATTTGGCAGAGAAAACTATGATAAGATTTGAAATAAAGGCCTCAATGGTGCTCAGTACTTTTATACAACTACTACAGGCCTTTTCAGTCCTTCAATTTAGATTTTCAGGTAGAGCACAAACTATTGGTAGCTTATATTGTCAGCGCTGGCTAAGTTGGGGCTTGAAGCAGTCCCAGCCGGGCTTAGGGAAAGGCTCAGGAAGAATAAAGTCTTTCAGTTTGTCCGGTAATGGCAAAGCTTTCACTCTGTCTTCCAGGGGCCCAGGCTGTAGGTGGCTCCTTATAAACGCCCTACAAAAGCTTTGCAGAGCAGGAGGGTTCGCTTCATGCTCTTCTACGCGGCTGTGCAGGTCCTTGAGAGCCTGAGCGTAGGGGTGAGGGTCTCGACCGGGCACAGGGAGCTTCACTTCCACATGCAACGCGATGAGGTCAACCTTCGCTAAGTCGAGCAACACCTCAGCTTGCTCCAGCAGCTCGGAGGCGTGACTCTTATCGGGGCATTGCTGCAGGGCTGTGTGGAGCCGCTGGAAAAGGAGGCTGTACCCTGACCAACAAGAGTCGCCGTGATGGGAGCAAACCAAAGACGCTCCGCTCCGGATTAACAGCACCGCCAGAGGGAAGAGCAGGTCGAAGTGCTCCAGGCTCGTCTGCGTCAGGGTGGGCATCACCGAGGACTTGCCGTCCGCGTTCAGACAGGAGCTGGGGTCCACACCGTGAGACAAAAGTAGCTGTGTGGCTTTCAAGCAAAAGTTACCCATCTCAGCAGCGTCCTCCGCGGTGGCCTCCAGAGCCTCCGTGACCACAAACACCAGCAAGGACAAAGCCGTTTCACCGTCTAAAGAAGCCGCATTCACGTCAGCGCCTGCAGAGAAGAAAGCATCACACAGAACAATATTTAGGTTATGAGTAAATTCAAATAATGAGCCAATTTGTCAATAAACTATATTTAATGATGATCATTTCTACAAATTAGTAATTGTTTAGGCCCTTTATGAAAATACTAAAACAAAACTACCGAGCATTGACTGGTTTTAAATTGAGCCTTTGCTGCCTACATTAAAGGCTACTCCAGACATACATGTATAGTACTTCTATAAGGTTTGGTAACTTTCAAAACAGATCATAATTAGAAAGAATTCATGAGAAGGAATAGTACAAATCAAGGCAGTGGAGAATGACATAGCTTGACCAATAGTCTGTAGTGTTCCTTTCTTTAAATTAAGATTATTTTAAGTGGGTTTTTTATAACAGATTGGCTTGTTGTGATTCTTTACCCACGTATACTGTAAAGCAGCTATAGCAGCTTCTTAAACAAAACATCAAATAACAGGACCGGGCATGTCAATCAATATTAAACAAAGAAAAGCAGGATATCTTCATATTTGAGAGGCTCAAACAATATTTATGGCCATATGAACGACAAACTTTTATTTTAAAATATAAATACAATTTTTTGTTTATTGATCAACTTCATCGCAGCTCTGGATGACTTCCAACAGTTGTGATAAACTGACTTTTAATAAAATTCCCAATGTGCTGCTGTTTTATGCTGGTGTTGTAAATACTAATAAAGCAGATTGATGACACCACTACACTGCCTATGAAGACGTGAAAGACTTTGACTCCTAAACCTCCTGCAGTTAAAAGTCTTGTCTGTCGGTCAGTCAGTCGCTTCACACCGGAATCACAGGATTAGTTCTGCTCCATTTTCACTTTCGATAACAACTCTATGTGCATATTTAAACCTGACAACCCCTGAGTTTACTTTGATCTGAAAATGCATACAGGTGGGCAGGTATGCATACTAACACAAGTTCCTGAATGTAGTGGTTTGAGTGCGATTCTGTTTGAAAGCGGACAAGAAGGCAAAGTGAAGATGAAGGCTGTTTCACAGTCAGTACCTCTCTGAAGAAGAAGCTCAATGTTCTCTATGTTGTGCACAGTGAGTCCGTCGCTGCTTGCAAAGGCATGGAGCAAAGGGGTTTTTCCTTTAGGGATGAAACCAAAACAATCAGGTGTTAGAATGAACCAACCAGTGAAAGAATACATATCTTGGAATAAGGCCAGGCAATGTACCATGTTTATCCCTTGCATTGACATCAGCACCGAGCTCCAGAAGGACGAGCAAGCAGGGCAGCCTCTCCAACTCCTCACTGGCCAGATCCAAGGGACTGCTCTCATGGATCTACCAAGTTACATTTATATTACACACACAATGCTACAGAAAGATAATCATGAGAACAAAAGAGGACATAAATCATCCAGAGTTGCCTCACCCTGTCTCTCTTTTCAACGTCTGCTCCGTGCCTGACCAGCAGCCTCACCATGTCTGGTTTGTTCCTCAAAACTGCCATATGGAGAGGGTTATAGTAGGACACTGGGTCTGGATAGAAAAACAGAAATGAATATTAAACAAATGGAGTCTTTATCACATTAAGATTTCTGACAATGCTACATTTTCTTTAAAAGGCATGATGGCCAATTTGCCGCAACCCAATTCATGTTTAAAGGATCTGGTTGAAGGGTGTTTTCAGTACTTCCTTGTGTTGTATTTATTTACTTAGAGCTTCAGATGCAGCATATGTGTTGACTAACTGGTGACTGAGTGTTTTCTCAAGCTGTTGTTGTCAGACTCTTCCATGCTGTAGCTTGCAGCAATCCAGTATACAAGCAGATTATAAACCAAAGTTTATTCTAAGCTTTACATTGAACAGAACAGCCCCCTGTGCCTGATTGTAAATACTAACTACATATATCTATATATTACTGACCATATTATTAAGGGTTAAAACAAACTTGGGTCCGTCCATCTAGTTAATCCGGTTTATTTTGGCTGATTTAAAAGCTGTAGTCATTATTAATATGGTGGATTTTCATTTTCATAACACGAATACTGCTGATACTACTTCCTGAGCTCTTTGTGACATCGAAAAACATAAATATAAATATGATATGCCTTAAAGTGCTGCATGAACACTAACAATGTATTATTATTTTTGCTTGACCAAATGAACCTGTCTAGTAACTAGCTTTACTATCATAAGCTTTTGCTACAGGCCTCTCAGATAGTTTGCACACACTATTTTTGAAACATCAAGGCATGACAAACACAAAGAATAGAGAAGCTTGAACATAGTTGCATGCTATGTGGGAGAATTTGTCAGTGTTAACTTTCTGGAAAAAGGCATTCAATACATGTAAAAGATGATTGAAGCAGCCTCTGCCAGGAAGCCTAATTATGTCCCAGGGGAAAGACATGCTTGCCACCACCAGAGGTCACCACAGCAGAATCTGACACCCTGGCAGATTCTGTCACAGCCGTAAGACATGCAGCACTTTCCACTGCAATTTGCAAAAGGGAGACTTTTTCTCTTCAGTGTATATGGACAACTTGCTCAATTTTAAACATGCAATCCTTGTGTAAGATTGAAAATGGCAGGGCCACTTAGGTCCCACACTTCAAACACTTATTACATTTTCTCTATGAATTCAGGTTGTTGTGCATTTGACAAAGACTCCCGATCACCTATTAAAACTGTAGCAAGATGAAAGCTATTGTAGCTACTAGCCAAAAAAGCGAAAATAATAATATAATACTTCATTGTTCGATCAAGTCTGAAATGTCTCTTGCATCACAGCAGCAAAAATATATACCGTTTGTTACAGAAACAAGTCCTAGAGATTTCTAGTGACAATAAGGCACTTAATTTACAAAGAGGAAAACAATTGATTTAAGTTTAAAATAATAAAAAATGAACACTCATATATAACTTGTCATTGTACACAGTAAGAGAAGTGTGATTAGGATTAGTGTTCCCTTATAGTGTTGTTTAGGGTTATCTGGCTGGCTACTCCTATTTATGTGCCATTTTATTGTGTACAATTAATTTACGAGATAGCTTACCCTCAAAGTTTAGATCAGCTCCGTATCGTAGAAGGATTTCAGCGGCGTCGACCAGTCCATGCTCTGCTACCTTAGAGAGAGAACAGCTGATGCCTTCCACAAACACTTCTGACTGGGACTCTCGCTCCAGAAGCTCCGCCAGAGAGCTACAAGGAGCGGACTCACCCTCAGGGCTTCTGACTCTGAACACAAGAGCAGAAAGGTGTACCGTTTCATCAAAACTGTATGCAATGCTACCAGATCAACTATACATTGTGTACTGGCAGAAGTTATAACAATATAGCTGGAGAAGAACAAACTGACACACACTTGAACATTTCAAATAACTACCTTTTACTGTTATGCATCAGACATGAAGATACATTGGATTTAACCTTAATAACTTTATTAATCTGTTTCACAAAAGGCTTTGAGAAAGAACTCCAATGAACATAATGGAAATAAAATGTGCACAAAAAAATATATATAAGGCATGAAGGCAAGGCAAGTTTATTTATATAGCACCTTTCAACACAAGGCAATTCAAAGTGCTTTACAAAAATGAAAGACATTAAGAAAATGGCATTTAACAGTCATTAAAAAGCAAAGATAATAAAATAAACATTAAAAGAAAAAATACATGAATAAAAGTTACAGTGCAGTTTAAGATATGAATAGTTCAATTAAAAGCAGCGGCAAAAAGAAAAGTCTTCAGCCTGGATTTAAAAGTAGTCAGAGTTGCAGCGGACCGGCAGGTTTCTGGGAGTTTGTTCCAGATATTTGGAGCATAATAACTGACCGCTGCTTCTTCATGTTTAGTTCTGACTCTGGGGACAGAAAGCTGACCCGTCCCTGAAGACCTGAGAGATCTGGATGGTTAATAATTTAGCAGTAGGTCAGACATATATTTTGGGCCTAAACCATTCAAAGCTTTATAAACCAGCAGCAGTATTTTGAAATCAATTATTTGACACACAGGAAGCCAGTGTAAAGATTTCAGAACAGGAGTGATGTGATCCACTTTCTTAGTGTTAGTGAGGACTCGAGCAGCGGCGTTCTGAATTAGCTGCAGCTTTCTAATAGATTTTTTTGTGAGACCTGCAAAGACACCATTACAGTAGTCCAGTCTACTGAAGATAAAAGCATGGACAAGTTGTTCCAAATCATGCTATGACATTAGTCTTTTAATCCTAGATATATTCTTTAGGTGATAGTAGGCTGATTTAGTAATTGTTTTAATGTGACTGTTGAAACTCAGGTCAGAGTCCATGACTACACCAAGGCCCTTTCTCATGTCATCAAATGTCCCTCCTCGACTCCTCGGTCCTCCGGTAGTGACCCGGAAATGAATTTTAGCGCGCCATGTTGAAGGACATCTCATTTCTCGAAATGCACATCGAGGATCGAGCATCGAGCGTCGAGGAGGCTCTCTGGAGGAGCTATAACCGAGGATACACTGATGGGTCCTCCACGGTCCTCCACGGCTCCTCCTTGGATGCATTTCCGGCAACAGTGATGTTTCAAAGAGTCGAGACGCACGGCCGGACTGATCTCAGCCAATCACAGATCTGCATGCATCCCCTGGATAATATTTTATTAACTGCTTTCATCGAGACGCGATGTTTACAGTGAGAACAGCTGTGAGGTCCGTGCAGAAAGCAGAGCAGTGTGTATAATATATATCATATCACTCAGTATAACAGGCCTACTCTCTTTATTTGCTTTAGTTTAGTAGATATCTACAAACAAAGTCGATATTTTTCTAAAACCATTTAGTGCTTCACATAATAAAATACACAACGGCTGTAGCCTGATGATATGCTTTAGGAGCTGTAGGTGCTTGTGTGTGGTGTAGGTGTGTGTGGTGCAGTGTGTGCGTAGATGCAGCGGACAGACAGGTCTCAGTTGGTTTGGTGTCCTCTGCTTACTTGTAATACTTGTAAATAAAACTTTTGGCCCGTTATTTATTTCCCTCATTGTAGCGACCAGAGAGGGGGGGGGATATATCCAGTCTCTGATAGTGTTACGTTATTATGAGAGTGCTCTGTTTGATTCTGAAATTGTATATATTTATATAAATATATACATATATGTGTGTGTGTGTGTGTCTGTGTGTATGTCCGCATCTGTAGCCTGTTATTGTCTCATTATACCGCACTGTGAATGAATCAAAGTAAATATATAAGTCGTCATGAACACATCTGTCCATCAGACAGAGGGCTGCTGTGCCTCCTGTCATCATTAATGGACGTCTCTTTAAAATGACTCCAGTTTTTATTAAATAATGAGAGACATTGGGAAGCGGATGGTATTTTATTTTTTGTGAACAAATTGACCCTTGAGCTCCAGGTTGTGAGTAGTTTTTAAAAGTTTATCAGCTATTCTAATGAAAAGGAACGCGTTATATAATAGTCCCTATTCCGAGTATTTGGGCAGAACATGTAGGCTACTGAGGTGACTATTACATTTGCATGTAATAGTCACCTCAATATCATCCTACACAATCAACACAAATATGTGTAAAATGTTGACATTTGTATATGTTTTTCTAAAACAGCCTGGGGTCAAATTGACCCCAAGGAACACCGATGCGTACAAAGTGCGTACAGGACATTTAAAAAAGATGCTGTGAGGTCCGTGCAGAAAGCAGAGCAGTGTGTATAATATATATCATATCACTCAGTATAACAGGCCTACTCTCTTTATTTGCTTTAGTTTAGTAGATATCTACAAACAAAGTCGATATTTTTCTAAAACCATTTAGTGCTTCACATAATAAAATACACAACGGCTGTAGCCTGATGATATGCTTTAGGAGCTGTAGGTGCTTGTGTGTGGTGTAGGTGTGTGTGGTGCAGTGTGTGCGTAGATGCAGCGGACAGACAGGTCTCAGTTGGTTTGGTGTCCTCTGCTTACTTGTAATACTTGTAAATAAAACTTTTGGCCCGTTATTTATTTCCCTCATTGTAGCGACCAGAGAGAGGGGGGGGGATATATCCAGTCTCTGATAGTGTTACGTTATTATGAGAGTGCTCTGTTTGATTCTGAAATTGTATATATTTATATAAATATATACATATATGTGTGTGTGTGTGTGTCTGTGTGTATGTCCGCATCTGTAGCCTGTTATTGTCTCATTATACCGCACTGTGAATGAATCAAAGTAAATATATAAGTCGTCATGAACACATCTGTCCATCAGACAGAGGGCTGCTGTGCCTCCTGTCATCATTAATGGACGTCTCTTTAAAATGACCGCTCAGAGGAGAGGAGTTCTCATTTCTCTAACCGCCTGCTGCTTCCCCTCCTCGGCTCCTCCGCTCGCATCTCCTGTGGGCGGGACTAAGTCTCGAGGATAGGAGTCGAGGAGGGACATTTGATGACATGAGAAAGGGCCCAAGATTTCTGGCTTCATGTGTTGTTTTGAACATTGCAGACTGAAGCTCAGCGCTAACTTTTATACGTTCTGCCTTGGCTCCAAAAACCATTACCTCAGTTTTATCTTTGTTTAATTGGAGAAAGTTCTGACACATCCAGTCATTGATTTGTTCAATGCACTTACTCAGTGTTTGAATTGGAGCATTTAGAATTTAGTCTCCTGGTGAAATGGTTATGTAAATGTGGGTATCATCCGCATAGCTATGGTAACTTATGTTGTTGTTTTTCATTATCTGAGCCAGTGGTTCATGAACAGTAACGTTTTTTTCTTTTTAGCAAATTACAATAAAATACTCTGACAATTAATTCAGGGTGGTATCCCATGATCTGGGTAATCTTGAATATCCTCACAACAAGTGACTTGAAAAAGCAGTCTGGGTTGAAAAGGTAGAAAAGTAAAAAAGTTATAATAAAATGGGGCAAGGATATGTCAATATCGTGAAAGAACAGACTCACAAAATGTTGCAATTTGTTTTTAACACTTTCATCCCCAGCCTCAGGATTTAGGAGTAATTATTTGATTGTGTTTTACTTAAAAGGATGTTTACTACAAAAACACTGTCCTATTTGTGATTGCAATAAATACCATTTGTTTGTTAAACAAATGTAAGGTAAAGTGATTCCAGTAAGTTTTAAGCATATTTTCTATATAATAACCTGAATTGCAACTACTTTGGTCAGGATAATCGTGAAAACAAATGTCTGCCTACAACTATTTATAAATAATATAAATATGGTGGCTTCAGCTTTACCTGTCCTCGTGACTTCCGCCTCCTTCCAGCAGTCCGACTACACTCATGACAGCGTCCACGAGCGGCTTGTACTCATATATCCTGCGAAACCCATGGAGGAAAGGCATGGCTCCTCCGCTCAACACTGTTTAGTAAGTCAATACCTAAAAAACAAAGTACAACAGTACAAGTCATATAAGGGACTTCATTTTGTATAGAGTCTCTTAACGTTTTGTCGAGCAGACACATGTATTGGTTGGAAATAGGACACAATTTAAACTCATTTTCTACTTTAGACGCGTTGCCACTATGTGCATAGCATTTCATCGTCACCTTCTCAAAAAGTTATATTCTAGCTAGCTAACTTAGCATGCACATGTTAAACGTCACAGTCACTGCTAGCATTGGTAGCTACATTAAATGCATCGCTCATATTTGCTAAATCATGAATGAAATGATCTAAATTGTAAGAAACTCACTGATAACGTTACTCCCGCCGGGTCGTTTCCCTTAGTTCATAACAGGAAGCCCTTGTCCCGCACGCCCACATGGGTCCGACGGTGTTTTTAGTCCCCCTTGAAGCTAAAACAGTGCAACAAAGGTTCCACTTTACGCTCTGTCCTCAAACAATGGCGAATATTTTCTCCACTAAACGAACACTGACAAGTTAACTGATGAATGAAGAGAAAGAAGACTATATGAGGAACAAAAGCTACATCTGCAGTGTTACTCCAGTTTTTATTAAATAATGAGAGACATTGGGAAGCGGATGGTATTTTATTTTTTGTTTATCAGCTATTCTAATGAAAAGGAACGCGTTATATAATAGTCCCTATTCCGAGTATTTGGGCAGAACATGTAGGCTACTGGCTGTACAATGTAGGCTACACAATCAACACAAATATGTGTAAAATGTTGACATTTGTATATGTTTTTCTAAAACAGCCTGGGGTCAAATTGACCCCAAGGAACACCGATGCGTACAAAGTGCGTACAGGACATTTAAAAAAGATCTTCATGTTCATTTTATGTTTACCCATTAGTCCTCACTAAATTAGGAAAAGTCATGAAATACTAAGCAACATGTGAACCATTTTTTTAGATACGTTAAACATTGAATGGGGTCAAATTGACCCCAAGGATAACAGGAGGGTTAAATAATGAGAGACATTGGGAAGCGGATGGTATTTTATTTGTTGTGAACAAATTGACCCTTGAGCTCCAGGTTGTGAGTAGTTTTTAAAAGTTTATCAGCTATTCTAATGAAAAGGAACGCGTTATATAATAGAGTCCCTATTCCGAGTATTTGGGCAGAACATGTAGGCTACACAGATATGGTTGCTGCTTTGGGTGGTTTGTGTTTGCTAAGATGACACTGCTCTCATGAGGGCTTTCATCAATATGATAGGTGATAGCCTCCTTCCTGCAGTCCAACCACAATGGCTAATCTTTCCTGCACTAAACGAAATATGTCCAATTTACTGCTTAAAAAAGAGGTAGATGAATAAATGAAAAAGAAAACCTAAAGCTGGGCTGTCTCTGCAGTTTTTATTAAATAATAAGGGATTGGGAAGCGAATGGTCATTTCTTTTTCGTGAACAATATAGTTTCTAATTGAACCTTGAGCACCAGGTTGTGAGTAGTTTTTCTTTCAAGTTTATCAGCTATTTTAATCAAAAGGAACATCTTAATATGATAATAGATTTGATAGAACAAGTATTTAGCTAGAACATATACACCGCCCATGATGGTCAGAACTAGTAACGGTGGGATGTTTGTGTGTGCCTATCATTTAAATTGTGGTGATAAGCTTGGGTAATTGCAAATAATATCTCAGGACACTGCCCAGACGTTAAAAAATGTTTTCCCTCCAAACAACCATCCCAATTGTTAATGTGTCAGGCCCTTGTAAGTAATTCTGCAAGTCGATCGGCAAGTTTCATCTTTACAATCTATTTATGTCAAGTGTCGCAGATTATACTTCCGTGTCTGAGATGTTCTGTCATGAAATAATAACCAACTTTTTTTTAATTTTGTGTACTTTTTCAGAGATCAAGTCATTGATTAGCATTTCAATTTTTTCTTTCTGAGAAAATGTGACTAGGAAAATATTTTAGCTCACACATCACTTCCTACGTTTTCTTTGTCCATATGGCACATTAGTCTAAAACAGCAGCTTTCAGATTTATTTTTGACAACTACTCCATTTTGCTGACAGCATCTGGTTGGTAACAGTCGCCTTTGTCCTGTTTAGCAAGCAATCCCCTGCTGTGTCTGGCTTTGGTGACAGATGGCTCGCTTTGAGAGATGTGGAGGAGTGCTTTCTTACTAAATATGTAATTTGAACATATCTGTGAGTCTGATTTTCAACACAGCATATGTTAAGTGCATTTTAACATAACATGTGTTGTTGCTGACACACTACTGAAGAAGAAACATTAGTTAAAATCACTTTTATTTAATATTTTTTAAGAGTGTGTGACCTCAAATACAAAATGATATGAAAACAAAGAGGATAAGTAAAATAAAGGGTGTGTTTGCAGCACTTCATGTGAAGCTGATACCTTTATGAGATTCTTTGTCAGATGTCCCAATTGGTTTATTTAAATATTGAGATACAGCCTTTAGCATTGATTGAATGTATTACCCTTCTGCATTGAAACAAAACTAAAGAGTAAACCCAAAACAAAGTAAGCTCCTCCTCATTTAATGAATGTAATTTGATCAATCTATACCAAATATAGGATATCAATAGATCCCATTTGTTCAAATCCTTAACATAAAGAATTCAATATCAATCTTTCGAAAAATATGTGTTCAAATATTGTTAGAAACTTAATAAGTAAACAAGATAGGCATAATTGTATTTGACTATAGTTGTGTGTAATTCAATACAGTTTGCCGAATGACTGCTGACCAAATAATGGTGTTTTTAAACTCTGTCTTTAGGTGGCAGCAGTGCACCACATGTCTACACCCCTCAGCGGTGAGCTTGGAATCAATGCTACACATCTGGTATTGTAAACTCATGCATGAGCGCACAGTTTTACTCATGCATTGAAGCAAACATAAACCATCATGTTAATGTAGACATGGGCAGAAATGCAAACAAACGGCCCTGGGAGAATCAGTTTTCCATACCAATAGTCCCTCCTCTGAAGGGGAAAATAGAATTGCAGTAATTTAATCGAGGCTTGATTAATTCTCATTGTATCAATTTCAAGACAATTATTATTTTTACTTTCAACAGATCCAATCAATATAGCATTGTTCCCTGAACGCATGGCTGCCTGCCCAGAGTCCATCTAATGTAGCTAAAATCTCTTTTGCTATTTTCCAAACAGGCTCAATTTACCCATGATTTTGGAGCCATGTGCTCATGAATAATCTACTTCATCTCCCCTTTTACAAATCTGCCCGTGATTAGTGCTTAATTCTTTGTGCACACACCTGTCTGGATTTCCCCGGTGAAGCAGGCAATCTCTCTTTTCCACTCTGAGGTTAATTTGTACCTTTTCCACCATGTGGTCACACGAGCATACTGAGCCTTGTCAGACAACAGTAACAGTAGGTGGCGAAACACATCCTGTGCCTGGCTATGAAAATGAAAAAAGAAAGTCCCCGCTGCAGGGCCCCTCTTTCCAGTTTAGCATTAGCATAAATGCAGGTAATTGAGTAAGATTAGGAACATCACTTTGGCACAGCAAGTGTCACAAAGCGTTGCATTTTAAGTGCTTGTGGCCATCAAAACATACAATTTGAAATGGCTTGAAAAAATCTTCTAAAACAAAACACCTTTCACTTTGATACAGCAGTATGACCTCTCTTAATACTATATGTGGTAAGATAACACACAGAGATTATGGGTATCAAAGAGTGATGGTGTTAGTTAAGAGCAAAGCTTTTCGGAAATATTACCCTCTGTGCTGTTTGTGTATTTTTCTTTCCATCTAATTTTGAGCGGGATTGGTAGGATGGAGGCAAAGAGGGAAGATAACTGCGGTTCCATTCCTATACCCCTTACGAGTAAATTGGCTCTTTATCAAATTTAGGTCCCATCTATCAATACAAAGAACGGTATCGAAATTACTTTGTTGGCCACAAATCGCTGGCAATAGATTGAGCCTCTGTTGAAACAAGGCCATCATTTATCTGGTTCACATTTCCTCCTGAGGTTAGAGGGAGCAAGACACACTAAGACTTTTATTTGTTCCATGGGTGATAGATGTAACCTCCTTGAATCTCTGATGACCAGATTACCACAAGTAAAATAAGAATCTATTAAACATTTAGACCTGTTGGTGCCCTGTCAGATTCTCTCTGTTTCTAACCAATAGTGTTGTCAAGGGAGCTGGAGAAATATGGAGGTCTTCCAACGCTGAGGAGATTTACCCAGCTACAACGTATTTTGGGTTATGCAAAGCTTGGTAGTTTGTCCCAGGAGGCTGATGCATAAAAAAGAGGTTAATTACCAGGGATAAAAAGTACTTATAGATGTAATAAAACGGAACACACAGAACACTTCAGCTCCGGTAAAAGACAGAATACCAGCGGGGAAGGTGAATGTGGAGGCAGTGAAATGATAATAGAGTGGCAGCGCATTGTGGTTTGGTTTCCCTTAGTTCCATACCGACAGCTGGAATTATCAGACCAGCAGGTCTGGGCCTAATATCCTTTTGTGCTGGCAGCGTTTTGCCGAGTGAAGATTGTGGATGGAAATAATCAGCCCTTTTAAAGGTCAGGGGAAGTTAAGCACACCCAAAGTAGACCATGACATATTCTAGCTGATAAGAAATAACTGTCTGTGTAAGGAGGAATGATGAGAGTTCACCTTGTCCCATTTATGCTATCATGATTACTCAACTGTCAGTCAAATATAATGGCACATATGCAGTTGACCCCAACTGCAACTATAGGAAACTCTGGCTTACCCTGGCTAACCTAATTTGAGACGAGGAGAGTAATGTTTGAAAAAACTTATAGTGTTGCCATTATAGTTTGATAGCATCTTCAAGGTGTTTCAGCATAGTAATACTTCATAAAGTATAAGTACATTTCACAGCGAGTAAGAGATGTAATTACAATCAACATTGCAATTATTTCTTTCATTTAACCTGCAGCAAAAACCTTTGAAAAAGTTTGAAGGTGATGGCTAATGTGTTTTTGCGGGTTTGCACATAAAATATATGCAGCCACATAAGCATTTGTTTGGACTAATGTTTCTGGCTACCGGGCGGTTGTATATGTCCATTCTTCACTCTTCTTTTAGTTTTGGTTTTAGTCTCTTCCAAGTCCTGGGATACATTTCCGGCTATTTAAGTGGAAAATGTTCACTAGCTTGTTGCTAATGTTGCCTGTGTAGCATACAGTCGGTTGATAGAGCTCTTTTTAACTGAAAACAGCTGTCTGCTGCTGCCGAAAGCAGAAAACTGTTCAGCTGTCGACTGAAACCAAAACAAGGAGCTGAAACACTAAATAGTCCATAGAGCTGCCCATTCATCACCATAAGTAGTCGTCATATGATCCATTTAATGGAATAGTTTTACATTGTCGCAGCCTCTCAAATGCAGGCTCCAAGAGCGCTCCCAGACATAATGTGGCACATAACTGGAAGAATATTTCAAATGTCAAGAAATTGCATGTTAATTAGCTAAGTTTATAGCTGCTGGTAGGCATGTTTTGTGAGCATTGGACAGAGCCAGGCTATCTGTGTTCTCCCTCTTTCCAGTCTTCGTGTTATTTGAAGCTTCATATTTATTGGACAGATAGGAAAACTGCTTTTATCTAATTATTCACCAGAAAAGGATTATGTGTTGTTAAAAACGATTTATTCCACTGCCTGAATTAAAAAGCCTTTCTCTCATTCTATACAGAGTAATTAAACTGTTTATGTCTTGCTATGGAAAGGGACTAGCGTTGTCTTCAGTATAGATCAGGCAGAAAAATAAAGGACAAATCATTTGGGAGCAATGACTTACAGCATTCAGGGCCAAAGGAAGGTCACTCTTTGCCTTCCCCCGGGGCATCAGTCTTGAAAACAGAGTGACAGCCCCAGAGAGGCTGATAAGTAAATACAGTTTTTAATGGGCTGTGAATGGCTGGTGGTAATCTGCGCAGGCCGGGAGTGGGCAAGGCACAGAGGGCGACAGGGCATTCTGCAGCGGTTATTATTAATGCTATCATAGATCAGATAGGCCAGGGGAGGAGAATGAAAGGTGTGATGAATTTGGGGCGCCCTGTCTACCAACTTACTGGAGGACAGGCTACTGAGGCTGGTTAAGGTCATATATGAAGGATACCACCCAAGAAGACACAAGGGACGATTCATTATGTATAGTACAGAGAGAGGATAGTATATACCCCCGAGACCTACTGAAGGTCATTGGGTGACACTGGGTTAGTTCAAAAACACAGCCTGTAGTGTGTTTCTACTCACCCAGATGGTATTCTTAATATCTGAATATGCCTGACAAACGTTATATTTTTATATAAATATTACAAGCATTTGATTTTAGTATTTTTTTTAGGGAGACTCTGTGCCCTTACACAAACTCGAGTGCCAAATTAAAATCTATTGATAGGTGTCTGGATGTTGAAATGCAGTGTGTTGTATGTTCGAGTCTGACATTTCAGACTTGGGTGTATTTTCAAGGTATGAAAGCGTCCAGATCTTTTTCAAGACATCAAAGACTTGAGACCTTTCTCCAGACATCAAAGTCTCAATACCTATCCTCAGAGAGGTCTGCGCACCTAAACGTCACACATGTATAGACACACTCACTTGTATTTTTGACCAAGCTGCTCAACCTGTTATATAAACTCCCACATTTTTGTGTCTTATCTTATTTAGGAGAAAGATTGATGGTGTGTTAGTTTTCATAACAATAAGGCAAATGGAGTTACCATACGCGGGACTGAGAGGGGTTATGCTGCTGTTTTTAATGACTTGCAGCTACAGACGATGTAACCCAAGCAACTTGGGCTCTGTCTGGTTTCCCCTCTGACTTCCAGCTGTTAAATGGACCTCAGTGTAGGCTGGGCTTCAAGGGATTTGTTTGAGTGTCAGGCTATAGACGGACTGCTTTTGGACAGCTACCAGCGTTTTTGAGAGTGATGTTCCAGCCCAGCCATTACAGCTAGGGAAGTGACTGCTCTACATCAACACTTTTTGCACCCCCCCACATCTAATGCTTTTTGCAGCTGTACAAGAGTGGATTTGGTTCCACGATCAAATTGCACATTCAGAAGGAAGAAAAGGCTAGGCTCCTTAAGGGGTAAAAAGGAATTTGAAGTCACCTAGAAAGGATGCATTAATATTAGGACTGAAACTATGATTAAGTGGTCAAAAGGATTCAAAACACTCGCCTTTGAAAACATCTACTTAAAGTAGTATTCACTGTGTGAATGTAAGTAGGGCTCTGTGTGATTCCCTTTCTCAGTTGACAGGCCTTTTCAGACCTAAATGCTGCATTCAGGGTCCAAAGTAGGCTGTGAAACCACTTTTGAGCACATCTGCTTTGCAATGTACTGTACTTTAGTTTGGCTTGTCAGTCGATTCGTGATACACCGACTGACAGCATGTAAGATTGCTTTTAAGTCGGGCCTTCAAGCTATATGCTTAAAACTTAAATATGTATACCATTCTGCTTTAAGAAACGCATGGTGTACCTGTAGTCAGAGAATGTACTTATACCTGCAAATCAAGTATTATTACACTGCACACCTAAGATACAATACAACACACACATTCAATACACTTTAAAAAGGTTATTTAAAATGTGGTGGGTTTCATTGTTGATTAAATAACATGGCTATATTTCGTAAAATCAATACATCTAAAAAAAGACTAAGAGTCTTCCTTAAAATCAATAGCACAAAAATACCTAATATAAGGTATTCGCTTTATAGTGATCATAGCGTTGGCAGGCAAGCAGAGCAATAAAAACAAACACCCATGAAAAGCATGATTGGACTTGTGGTTGACTCATCTGATATTTCTGTACCATTCATGGATCTTTCTTTATCTTTCATTCACAACACCATCTGGCCTACACAGGAAAAACAACTTGATCTGGCTCACAGTTTTTAATCACTTACTACAGTCATAACAATAACTAGTTTTTTGGGGAAATGTAGTTTAATTTTAAATAATGTGTTAGCGGCAACAATTAAGTTGTCAAATCCCGACACATTATTTTAAACTAAGAAACTGCAAACATGACCTCAGTCTCTTTTAAAAACAAATGTATGATGTTTGATCAGAGATTATTTAGCAGTAGAGCCATAGTTTGCTGGATTAAAGTATTACCAATAATACATGTTAGTTGGATACCATTACTTTATGGAAAGATCTTGTCATTTTCATAGTCTGCTAGAGAATAGGCGACATATTTTCAAAATGCATGCTGAGAGGGAGCATGTGTCCTCAAGAATAAATATGGAAAATAAAATGGCTACACAAATAAAGAAGTCAACATGCAACAAGAACACAATAAACTCATTATTTAGCACCACAGCCATAACTGAACAACAGAGACTGACTGAGATAAGACACACTCAGTAACATGATTTTAATGACATTTGTGATTTCATGTCACTTTAACCACTGGTTTCTGATTAGATTTGTATGGTTCCCACAGTGTTAAATGCCTTTTGCCTTCTGCCCTCCACCTTCACACCTGAGCAGCTCTGTTCAGTTCGCTTGCCCTGCCACACGGGGTCACTAGTGCCTGTCGAGTGGAGCAATCATGCGACCAGTTCCTCGACATGTTCGATAACAACTTTTAAAGTCATTATTGTTGTCCACAGAGGGCAACGAAGTGTGAGGCATTTCTTGTAAGGAGGAAACTATTTGACTTTATAAATGATGCTTCCTATATGACGATAAACTGCACTTCAGCGGTCTGCCTCTGGAGTTGAATATACATTAAATTATAAAAAGTGTTGAATATAGAATATGTATACGTATTCTCACCACTACCTGTGAAGAATAGTGTGTTGCTGGAGCGCCACACGCCTCCCGATGTGTGCCAGTGCCAGCTTCTGTCACTGCTTTCTTCTCCTCTGCTTCTCTCGACGCGCATTGGACGGTGCACAGTGCGTAAGCTCCACTGAAACTGTAGCCGATCGCCTGTCTACATAAACATCGAAAGATGGAGGCTTGAAACCGGACTTTCACTGAATATTTGAGCCACTTGGTGCCAAAGTGTAATTGGAAGTGGCATCTTGGCTCCGGGATCGGACCTCTGCGCGTTCTGCTGCGTGCTGCTGCTGGAGTTGCGCTCAGTACTTGCCTGGGAGTGGATGTACGCTGACTCATGTTGCTATTTGAACTTCTTTACTTTTATATATTATAACATACATGATGTTGTGCGGGAACTGCTTCTATTCGTCCACAAGTGTCGGACTTTACGCACTGCATAGCAGCCAACTTCAGGTGACTGGTGATGCGGAGGATACAGAGCAGACAAACTGAGGACAAGGGACTGAATCCGTTTTCAGTTTGGCTGTTTTGGAGAAAATCGTTTTGGAGTTTACTGAGATCATTTTGAAGATGTATCAATATATATGTTTTCCCTGGGTTTATGCAATTCCTCAGGCATAATCTTCTTTCTTTTCGAAAAATGCTTCAAAGAGTGATGCAAAGCTGCGCGCAAGTTCTTTCTCTACAGTTCTTGATTGTTCCAGACAAACACAAGTAGACAGGACTCAAGTGAAAAGGCTTCAAATGTGTTGTTCCCACACAGTGAGCTTTTTTAGCACTCGCAAATGACTGGATGAGGCATGGCGATTTTACCAGAAAAGATGATTTTGCAATTTTTACTAACGATGCTACAAGTTGGATTTTCTTCTTTGAATTAAGCCAATTGGCTTCCATAACAATTTTTTAAGGGGATACTCGTTTGCCTAACGAGTCAAAGAAACATGTTGCATATCCTTGCGCTTCAGTCGGCGGTGTTACTTTTTGGAGGTAAGCACATTGTCAGCCAATTTAACTGTGTCTTCTAGTCCACTGTTTCAACTGAAGAAATGTGTTTATTATTTACAAAGAATATCCAAAGAGACATGAAGAAGTTGAAGCCAACACATAGGACAAGTTCATGCCAGGTATACAAGGGACACAATGTACCTGAGACACGGGTTGCAGGAGTCACTTGTCAATATGCTCTGCCTCTATCACATCTGAATATAGATGCCACACAGTTTTGTTTTTTTGCATGGCATATTTAATACATACTCCATTTATAAAAAAAAAAAAAAAAAAAAAAAAAATGGAGTTCATATCTGTTCAAGTATACATGATGTATAATGAAGCCCCACTGCACCTGTACTACATGCCCAGAGCAGCTCTGGCCTTAAATAACATTTATCTGATGAATATTTCACCATGACAGGGATGCTCTTGTGTAACAGAAGCATCGTGGTTTTATTACATTTTGGCTTGTCAGGTTATTACATCAAAATTCGTCTCAAAGCCAATAATTATTTTATGGGAAAAGTTACAGAGACCGTCCTGCATACATCTCCATAGCTCAAATCACAACATGATCGTAAACAGAGGCAATCAACAGACAGATATCTTTTGTTTTGAGGACTTTCTCTCTATATGACTTCTTGCTAAAACAATGACAATTTAAATATGCACACCACATTGCATAATTTGTTTGTGCTATTTGAACAAAGTATCCTGTTGACTATTGTGAATATTTTCTATTGATAACACCTTCTATTCTTATCAAGCAGATATAATTATAAGCTTCTGCCTTGCAGCTGCAAATGTTCTTTCCTCAGCGATGGAATACATATTTCCTGTTCATTGACCATATCTTGTTTTCCCTTATTGCCTTGAGGCCAAGCCTTATCATTATATTCATGTCATACAGCCCAAAGCCAATCATGTATCAGTTATTGTAAAAATAAGAAAAACATCTACTGTTATTCCCCTACATAATTCAGAGGTCATGCATGTTCAGAAAGTGAAATGCTCAACACTCAAACGGCATCTCATATATCCATTGTGCACGTACACCTTGATTAGGCTTCACTCTCACGGCTCTGAGGATGACTCTTGTTTGACAGCATCTCTATGATGAGTGCTGACTCACTGGCTTGAAGTGAATAGTAATGATGTTTTCCATATGCCAAGGCCTTCTCAGTAACCATACACGGTATGATCCTAATTGAGCATTGTGTGTCATAAAGCTGCAGGACACAGCTTTTCATTGTGAATAGTGATGAAAATTGATAACACACTCCAGGAAATGAGAGTATCAAACCCGGGCTAGCAAAATGCCTGCACAGCATAATCGAGCCATAATTAGGGAGGGGAAACTTCTCGTATTGTGGCGTGACTGCGACCAGACCCTTTGTTTGGAAATGCTACATTTAATCAGGACAGACTTATTAGACCTACAATCTTGCATTAAAATCTGTTGATAGAATGGCACACTGACACATTTAAGATAAAGGTTAAACTTGTTATGTTTTTATTGAACTGGCTTAATACCTTATGGCCTATTTTTAAAAGTCTGTCCTCTCTATTAAGTGTAGCTGCTTGGTGTTTTCCAGCAAGAAACCTCGCTGGGATTCCTGAGGAGAATATCCAATCTTCCCTCCATTCGTCTTATCCTTAAGCTTAACAAAATCCAAAAGAGGATCAAGCAAGGATAGCCTTCAGTCTACATCTTTAAGCACTAAGCACACAGCCCATGCTGTCTCTGGTCCCCAGCTATGTGTCTGTCCTCTTGCTTCTATATCCCCGTCAAGAGATTGGGGTTGTCGTAGGATTTGTTTGGAACACCAACATTTTATTAACTGAACAGAGATTCTTAGGCTCTTTCTCAGCAGAGTTTGTATCTGTAGTCGGCCTCAGAAAGATCCTCTGCTGTGGTCCTGCGTCCCGGTGCAGTGGCACACATCCAACTCCTCCTCTTTTGCCCCTGGCAGTCTTTAAACCTTGCTACTCATGTCCTTGATGAAGTGTATACCAAGGAATGAGAGAGAGGTGACCTACTGCATTTATATGTAATAGAAAAAGGGAAATATGACTCACATTAATGGACTTTAAGTTATCTGTATGAGATGTGAGTTCAGTATAACATCTCAATGATGCAAAAGCATTCAGCTGAGAGAGCACACGATACTGAAAGACTGTCTTCATGCGTTGAGACTCAGAAACAGTATAGAACGTCTATGTGTGCATCCCATTGTGTGTCTGTTTCTCATTGTTGTAGGTTTTACAATCAACATTTACAATCAGCTGGGTTTTTAAAAATGTATTATATAGGTGGATCTTTTTATATTCACTTAAGTCTTCGTCATAATGTTTTATTGTACCGGAAGATTCCAGGAAAGATCATGGAGAACTCTTACATTCAGTTTCAAACCCTTAAAAGCTCATCATTCATACTGCTATAAGAAGCATCTGGTTGTTACGTTTAGGTGAGTCTCTGTCTTAAGTGAGCTTGCTCTGGAAAATGTCCTGTAATATCATTTTGCTGGTTTGTTGGCCTTAGCTCGGTTATGGAGTTTATTTCCAGATCAGAGCACATCAAAAATAAACAGAAGAAATCCCTGGCTTGGTGGTGTTCTTATCAAGGCTATCTTTCAGCTGCGCTTTGAGCACACGCACTGTGGTTCACTTTTTTGACTTGTGAGGGAGGACACTGATAAAAAGAGGCAGATTTTTCTCTTCCCTCAAATCCAATTTTGGCAATGCTTGGGTGTTCTCTTCATGGAGGGAGAAAGGAAAAGAGAATCTCAGCAGCAGCAGGGTGTACGCTGGGTTTTGGACTTGTCTGCTTTGTAATTACCTACCATCACAAATGTTTTATGCCATTAGTTTGTGTGCCAAACTGTGCACCTTTGTTTGTTTAATGACCGTTTTATGGAACACACAGAGTAGGTGGACTCTTATATTAATCCCTATACTGCTCTTCCATGCTCATTATACTTAAAGTGTGTGTGTGGGAGGTGTACATTGTAGCTTTCCAATCAGTGAGTCAAAAGAGGGGTTCTGCCCCCATAAATTCACATATCATCAGTGTAATGTGCTTTAATATTCCCGTGAAGCACATCTGCCCTGTGTTAATTGGCTCTTTATAACTGCAGTGATCTCACATTCAATTTAATCAAGTTTCACGATTAGAGAAGGTGAATGAAGGAAATCTGTTTAAAAGCTTTAAAGGGAGGGGCTGTTAATGTGTGTGTGTGGGGCAGGCATTGTAGTAATTGAAAAACATGCTGATGCAGTGTTTGTGTGTTCTCTCATCAGTGGATAGTTGTGTCTAATCAGAGGACTTCCCCCTCATAAATCTGTTCTCAGCCAGACTGTGTGCTCCAGCCGTGCTGCGTCGGCACCAGAGGGAAAGCTCCAGAGAACAGCAGCTTGTCTCAGACTGCTGCTGTCTCAAACTCATGCTTTAATATAAATGATTGTTATTCACGGACTCAGGCTGCACTGGAAATTGAAATTTAGAATTGCTACTTATCAGGTTTTGGATGTGTTATTTCAAAAACCTTTTTACTGTTTTGTAGTTAGAAAAAAGACAGAAAGCCTTCAGCAGTTCTTTGACTTTTCAGCATATTGACGAGGCTTATATGCAGATGTTTAGCAGGCAATGTTTGCCATGTTCATCATCTGAGTTTACTGTGATTTAGCATGCTAATATTGACTAGTTAACAATCAACACACCATACCACTGAGGTTGATGTTATTAGTATTGCAGATGTTTGATCGTAAACTAACCAAAGTATTGGAGAACTGTCCATTTTGACCTGATGGTGGCGCTAGTAGAAAAGTCATTGTAAATCATCAAATGCTTTTTGAGACATTGGGTGTTTCTCAATCGCGAGTAAAGCTGCTTCAGAGCCACTATTTCAAGCATACTACGTCATCGAGTGCCGCCGAAGTACTGTTCCAATCTCTAGTATACTTGGAAATCTATCGAGCCCGGCGTACTCCGTTTGGAGAAATATCGAGTCTGCACATGAGTAGACTTCGCGGTCTTAAAATCCCCACAATGCTTTGCGCACGGACCAATTTCCCCAAATCTGTGGCGGAAGATGTAAGGCGGGGCCTCTCATATGACGCACACCTGCACACTTGCTAGCGTGTTCCACACTTCGTTTTCCGAATGCCAGGAAGTATTCTTGACTCGCTTCTGAAGCAAGATGCTCGGCAGACATGTGCTACCAAGCAAGCGTACTCGCGATTGAGAAACACCCATTGTCAAAAAAGAAAAAATGTCAACTTAATTGTGGTGCTAGAAAAAATGTCAGTGGATCAACTCAGTTAGGATTCCTGGCCACTCTGAATGACAAAATGTGTTCGGGCCATATTGGAATGTTTTGATAATGTAATTTAGCAGAATTAAGTGACTTCACCCCCAAATGTTACCTATCCCCAACCTTTAGTTTGGACGTATTTCGCTGCTTGGTTGGCTTCACATGAGTTTGCTTGGATACCTTTTGATAAAAACTCAGCCATATTATAATAAGACAGATATTATGTTTTTCCTTCAGAAAACCTATTTAAACAGAGATTTTACATATTTCTAAGCCAAACACCCCTACAAGATGGACAATATACCTGGGACCCCCTGATGTATGTCCCTTGGAACAATTAAACATAGCCTTTCTTTACACTTATATAGTAATGGTCTTATATAAATAAAAGAACAGCACCAGAAAAATGTATTCGAAAGAAACATGCACTCATTTACTATATTTTCAAACCCAATACATTTAATGTCTTTATGTTGTGACCTATTTCTTTATTGTAAATATTTGTATTCAATAACTGCTGAACATTTGTATTATGCATGTTTGCAGAGTTCATTGTAATGTGAAAGCTATTGAATCATATGATATTGGAAAAAAAAATGGTTAAAATGTCATTAGCCTTGGAGCCTTCTCTGGAAACAAAACACTTCTAGTATAGCTTTCTGCAATATTAGATATTAATGCAGT